GATGTGTTATATTAATTGAATTTTGAATGTTAAATCACCCTTGTATACCTGGAATAAATCCTACCTTTTTCTTTTTTAGGTAAGCAAAATATTTTAAAATAATTTCTAATGCATTTATGACATGCATTTGATGGGAGTCTTTTAAAGGATACCAAGAAATGGAAAATGAAAAATTAAAGAATTTCAAGTGCTTTTTGGTCATTATTGGGTTTTGACCTGCTTTGAGAATCTAATGAAAAGTCATGACCTACGAGAAGAATGCAGATTGCATAAATGCACACATTTTGCATGTAATTTACACTCTGTGCCAGTGAAGTAAATATGCTCACTGACTGGTTCTAACAGGTTAAGCAGTACTATAATGGCAGTAGGTCTCTGAAGAGTTAAATTTTCTAAATATAATGGAATAAAAACAATTATGGCCAATGCTGAAGTCATAGAACTAAGAAGGATGAGTGTGTAAATTGACTTTGGATTAAATTCATGACAATTAATGGAAGGATAGTAGAGTAGTTTCTTTTAAGGAGATTCAAAAAATATGACATGTACTTTATTAATTTACACAAGAGTTAATTATTATTGTGGACTGTATATTGACCATTGTAACTCTTATGTCTCTCTATAAAAAGACTAAAATAGAGAAATAGCTTCACCTGCAATCCCAATTATAAGGATGTCACATTCACATAGCAACTCTCACTGCATTCTAGGCATTGTCATACTTCTTAAAATGTGATGCGGTTCCTTAAATAAGTATTTAATGAATATTAAGTCTGGTTAAGCATTCTGGAAAACTTTGAAGTTATATACCTGCCAGCCTTGATTCATGCTATCTTTCACTAGAATGTCCTGGGAAGATCTTACTTAGCAAGTTATTTGTAGGCTCATAACATAGCCTTCCTTGTGAATTCTTCTAAAGCCTCAATTAGACAATATTGCTCAGTTCTCTGTGCTCTACCAGGCTCAAGTCACACAATCAGGATATAGTTTATTCATTCAAGTTCTGTAGTCAATATTTTCTGATAGATTATGTTTCCTTTAGGGCAAGAGCTGAGTCTCATTCATCTGTGTTACTTCAACCACAGTGCTTGTCAACAAAGTAAGCACTCACATTGGTTTGCTGAATCAAAACACTTAATTAACGGTTTTTCTCTCCAAACGGAAGTGTATTATCAGTAGCTGTTACGAATATTTACCCTTTCTTACTGACTTCTAAGAAGCTTTATCAGCAAAGAAGTCATATTTATCTTATGCACTATTGAAAACCCAACATTGGTCATGGTACCTGGTACATTGCAGGCAATCAATAGGTAATTGCTGAATGACTATTGAACAAATTAATTCAAAAGAGCATGAAGGGTACCTACAGAATATATTACTCCAAGCAAACATTTTTTAAATGCTGTAAATAACAGGAAGGCTTTTCTTTCAATCTATGGGGCTCTACTGTTATTTATTTATGGCCACAGGCTGGATGCTGAAAATTCATTAAAACGAGTACATAGTCCTTTACATCACAGCTATTTCAGCAGAGAAGGAAGAAAAGTCATTACAATAAACTGTTATGAGGGTAATGAAAGAGAAGTAGAAGGTCTTAAGAGTGCATAGACCAAGCAAATATCATTGTGTAAAAGTCAAGAAAGACCTGCTAGAGGAAATGTTATTCAAAATGAGAACTGAAGCATTGATGAATTAGACTGAGAAGAATGCCTGGGATGAAGGTGAAGAGTATTTCAGGAAAACAGCTCTTCTCAAGGGCTAGAAGTAGAAAGGGCAGAGAATTCCAGAAAATAAAAGAAAAAGGAGTGTCTGTAACTATTACTCATTGCTACCCACACATACTGGGCCCTTTCAAGTAAAGAATATTATAGTATTTCTCAGCTTAAAAATAAAATGATATATAAGAAACCTCTCTTGCGAACCCCTCCCTAGCCATCTTTTACTCTGACCTCCTTCCAGCCTTTACAGAAATGCCACTTTTTATCAGCAAGGCTTTTCCTCTCTACACTGCCCCTTCACTTCTGTTCCCTTCTCTGCTGCCACAGCATTCACCGCCATCTGAAAAGCTCTGCTCACTTGTCTGGTGTCTGTCTCCTTTTACAGTAAAATGAAAGCACATTGAGGAAGGGATTTTTGTCTAGACTGGACTGAGTGAATGGATCAAGGTAAAGAGTATGCTGCTTTCATTTTTCTTGCCCTTTTCAATCCACAGAGCAGCCTTCTAGATGTTTTTAAATGCAAATTTTCCAGGTCACTCACATATTTAAACTTGACTATGTATTTGCACTGCATGAAAAATGTGGTCTAAAATGTAAAAGTTGGACTAATAAAATGTCTGTAAAATCTGGCTTCAGGGCCCCTCCTAAGCTTAAACTTCAAGAACACTCCCCGTTGCTCTCCAGTACCAAGGACACAGGCTTTTTTTCAGTTATTTGAACAAATCTTGCTTTTCCCCTCTCCTTGGCATTTCCAAAAGGAATGGTCTTTTCTTCTCTGGGACACTCTTCTCCCACCTTCTTTCCTTCATAGAGTTAATTAAGGTTTCATGTGCTGAGATTTAGAGCACATGTGTGGGCACATTTGTTAAATATTTCCGGGTTTTCTCCAAAGAGGTTATACAATCCCAAAAGCCATGTTTCCCCAAGGACTTCTACATATATTGTCAGAGTTATTTCTTTCTACTTTTTATTTCTTGACAATGTCATAATTAACAGCTTTTCAAAACTGCATTTTCTGATTGTGTATGATTCTTGTTTTATTTTTGGTGGTGAAAATTTATTCAATCACCATGTATTTATTTTTGTTTGGAATCACGGTATTTGTTTTCTATTACAGCCATAACATATTACAGTAGGTCCCTTTTACCTGCCAGGGATAAGTTCCAACACCTGTAGTGGATGCCTGAAACCACAGATAGTACCAAACCTTAGTTGTACTATGTTTTTTACTTCAAATACATACCTATGATAAAGTTTAATTTATAAATTAGGCACAATAAGAAATGAACAACATTAGCTATTAATAAAATAGAACGATTAAGTAAAATAAGTGTTACTTGAACACAAGTACTGCAATACCTTCACAGTTCATTTGGTAAGTGAGATGGCTACTAGATGACTAATGAGTAGTATATACAGCATGATATGCTAGACAGAACACATCCTGGGTGAGATGGAGTGGGGTGGCACAAGATTTCATCATGCTATTCAGAATGGCATACAATTTAAAACTTATGAATTGTTTATTTCTGGAGTTTTCCATTTAACATTTTCATACCACGATTAACTGTGGGTAACTGAAACCACAGAAAGCAGAACTGTGGATAAGGGGGGACTACCATTTTGGTTATTAATGATCTCATGCAACAATAAACTCACTACTGAGAAGAGTAAAACAAGGTAGCTAGAATGGCTCAAGAAAGAAAAAACTCAAAGCCTTAATGTTTAAGGTGATAGTTCTCTGGTGATATGTCTGTGTTTTCATTTCAGAACTGTTGATCCTAGACATAATTCTCATCACTTTAACTACTTCTAATACTTACAGTGTGAGTAAGACAGAAGAGAGAAATATAGAAAAATCACAAATGCCTAGAGGTAGAGAATATTGACAGGATGACAGAGAGGCAGACAAGACTGAAAATGTAGTTACAGCCAACAATGAAAGGGATGTAATTGCAGTAAAAGAATCGCGTGACTGCCACGGTCAAATTTTTGTTTTTGAAAGTGTCTAAGTCCATTTGTGAAGCTATAACAGAATACCGCAGACTGGGTAACTTATAAAGAACAGAAATTTATTTCTCACAGTTCTGGAGGCTGAGAAGTCCAAGATCAAGGCACTGGCAGATTTCATGTCTGGTGAGGGCTTCTCTCTGCTTCCAAGTTGGTGCTTTGTAGCAGTGTCCTCCAGAGGAGACCAAAACTGTGTCCTCACATGGCAGAAGAAATGGAAAAGTAAAAAGGAGCAAACTCTCTCTGAAGGCTCTATTACAGGGGCATTAATCTGTTTATAAGTGCAGAGTTCTCATGGCTTAATCACTTTCCAAAAGGTCTCACCTCTTAATACTACCACAATGGAGATTAAGTTTCAACATAAATTTTGGAGGGAAACATTCAGACTATGGAAGAAAGTTAACAGAGTTTTCGATGACAATACAGAAATAAGTTAGAGGGCTATTGAAATAGTACATTTATTACATACAAATGTCATCCTGTGTCTACTGTGAACTTCTTTTTTTTTGGATTGGAAATGCATTAGGTCTGGAATATAATAGACTTCTATATGTATGTATGTATGTATGTATGTATGTGTGTTTGTGTGTATATATATATTGTTTTTAAAGACAGCATTTATGTTTAGTAACATACTTAATGTGCATAATGTGTTAAGAAACTTATACTGCTATTGTTAATATAGTCTTTGTGGTGTTTGGAACTTTGGGCGGTCATTCTTCACAGTTAAATCTAAAAACTAAAATATAAGGCAAATATTTTAAGAATTAAGAGAAAAAAAGCAGGCAGAAATAATATTTACACATGTGACCAATTTAATAATATACAATTATCTCCAAAAGGCATTTGGATTTAATCATTAGGCTTTTAGTTCCAGTTACAAAGTAATGTAATACATTTTTTCCGTAAAGTTTTTAGATTACATTCACACTTTCAAAGATCCTTGGTGGCTAGTTAAGTAGACTGATTTGCCTTTCAAAACAATTTGCACCTGTGTGTTTCTGGCACTACGTCTACTTTGTGTTCATTCTTGGCCTGGTGATATTTCCAAAGGCTTGCATTTCTGTTTGTTTGTTTGTTTGTTTGTTTGTTTAATTTGCCTGCTGCAGGAAGATGCACATTCAGAAACACTACTCATTTGTCTTGTATCATCCGGATACCCCAATCCATCACTGACTTCCTCTGTGATTTGTATATCTGGACACTGGAACTTGTTTTTTCTGTGTCTAACTGCTCTGGTTCGTCTAACTCTAGGAAATGTGTTTTTTTGCTTCATCTCCTGTTTACTTGGGGATCTGTGTTTCTCAGTCTGTAAGCATGTGGGACTGTAACAGTCTCAGTCTGTAAGAATGTGGGACTGTAACAAATGCTTCCAGCTTGGGAAACACCTTCACTTTTAGAGGGACACTTCAAAGTAGCTGAAGAAAGCTTTGTTTTTTGGACTGTGGTTGAAGAAGCCCTCAAGTAGTCTGATTGATTGCCATGCACATTGTTTTCTCTTGAGGGCTCACAGAATATATTATGGGTGAAGTGTTCATTTCTGTGACTTCCTCTCAGAGAGAGATTGCTTGATTCTCTGCTTACAGATCTCTTTCTATGTCCAACACACCAGGATTTGGATCTGTGAGTAATGGACCTTGATCGTCTTTGGATTCTTCTACTGGTGTGTGAACCAACTTCTACAAATTGGGAGGACTGTTTGCACTTCATCCTCTTTTTTCTGAAAGAACACAGCTTCCTGCCATCTCTCTTAGGAGAAAGAGTATATTCTGAAATGCAACTCCGAGAAGGTTCTCTCTTTCTGGATTTCCAACTTATCAAGGAACTTTCTCTGGGCAATTTTTGAAAGATCTTTGATGAAGAATCTGAATATTTGTTTTTCTCTACTTTTTTCTGGAAATTTGTCTGCTGGCCAAGGCTCAAGACCCTTCTTTCTCTTAGATTGTAGTTCCATGGTTGGACCAAATTCGAAATTGCTGGGGTACTGAAGGCACGTGCCATTGTTCCACTCTTTCTCAGATCCTGGATGTGATCAGGAAGCAACTTTATCCCTTCTGTCTCTTTCTCTTGAACTTTTTTTTTGCTGTTTAGTAAACCTGATCCCTTTTCCCTTGGAGTGGCCCAATTCTGGAGCATATTATTAGTAGAAATTGTGCCTTTGTGATCACCTGATTCTGGTCTGTCTTTGATCCCAACATGGATTTTGGTTGCTGTTTTATGATGGGCTGGTGGGATTTTGGATTTCTTTGAGGAAGAGTTACTTTCTGGAAACTGTTTCAAGCCTGACAGAGGCATCTCCTCATTATCCCATTGATCCTGGGTGTTTTCAAACTGCTCAGTATCGTGTTGAGATCTCAGTAGAGCATGATCCTTAGGCAAAGACAAAACAGGAGCTGATACAATGGACTTCTTTCCCCACGATGAAGCAGTCGGACACTGGTAGATGGCTCTCTGGTCATAGGTCTCCATGTTGTAAGGTGAATGGACAAAACTCATAAATTCATGCAGGAAATGGTGGGTGTGTTGTAGGAGATAAGGTTCCAGGAGGTGAATGAAGGACTCACTGTCCAAATCATATTCTGTCATGTGTTGGAGGATGGTGGCTAGGATATTCTTCACTGTGTAGCCATAATCTCCATAGACAACTGTCAGTTCCCGTTTCAGCCAGGGAACCAGCCGGTGAAGGCAGTCGGGATTTCTTTTGAAATAATTAGCTGAAAAGTGTTTTTTAAGTCTGTAGCCTTGGACATGTGTCACCCAGATTCCAGAATAATACAGAGCTCTTCTGAACTTCATAACCACCTGATCTCTGAAGTGGCCCACGGACATGGAGCTGGGTTGAAACTTTCCACTATCTCCAAACTCCCTCAGTAACTCTTGGATAGTCAGCTCTCGCAATGGTCGGATTTTCCTTCTGATATCCTCAGGGCTCAGACTGAGATGATTGTTCTGAGAAGACCCTACACAGCTTTCCTCCTCTGAGGAAAGAAACATTACGTCTTCTTTATTATCACTCTCCGGCCTGGTGGAACAACACTGAGAAGTAAAGCACTGTTCGCTGAAAGAAGGCACAGATTTCTTTCTTGATCTTGAATATAAAGAGCCGTTGCCACTCTTCTTGGAAGACGGATCCCAATCAGACTCATCCTGAGCACCCTCTAAACAGTTAGGACATTCGCAGTCAGATGACAGATCTAATGGCATTGCCTGAACAGATTATAATTCACAGTCAAATGTGAGAAAAATTGGTTCAAATCAATTCCTCATCTGGCATGAAAAATATCTATTAAAAGCACTCTATTCATGTTTCTGTAATATGTCTTATTGTCATGGAATAAATGATAGAATAAAGTTAAGAAGCAAACTATTCCTCAAATTGATAATAATGTGCTCGTAAAACCCAATGTAGATAAGGCAATGGATATACAGGCACACTGATTTTCTTCTCTCTCTCTCTAATGAGTTGTTGCAAACTCTGAAAAACAAATTAAAAATAAACATTAAAAATTAAGTATCATATGCTTTGACCTATCAATTCTAACTCTAGATTTAATCTAGATATACAAATATGCCGGCAAATATATGTTGATTTTTTTCTGTAATAGCAAAAAATGGAAAGCAACCTAAAGTAGGGATTGTTCAACAAATGATAATTTACACATAGAATTTAATTTTATGCACCTGTTGAAAAAAAGTGAAGCAAATCTATAATACTAATATAAGAAGATGGCTGGATATATTGTTAAATAAAGAATTAAGTTTATATATAAGTATGAAAGACGATTATAAACTGTTAGAAGTAAGCATTAATTTCTGGCAGAATTGTGAACTAAAAGCATCCTGAAAAATTCTCCCACTAGGAATAAAAGAATAATGATACCTATAATAGTTTTATATATTGTAGATACATATATTATATAATTACATATTATATTATACATGTAATAAATACATGTTTATAATATAATATAATAAATATAATATAATAAACATATAATAAACACCAGATGTGTGTAACTAAATATATGTTTATTATATGTACAATGCATTGCCATTAGTTGCACCTATTTGGTGTACTGGAGTTTCAATTCTGATAGTCAGAACCGATAGTTGCGGATGATAGGAGACAAAGAATGAACTCCGTCCAAGGTTAAATATCTAATAAGAAACCACTTCCTAAAAGAATTAGAAAAAAAAAAACGCCTCAAAGAAGAGTCAGCAAGAAATCTCAGCAGAGATTTTGTAGCTAGAAACAAGTATGCCTGCAGAATAAATTTGGTTTTCCTGAAAATATCAAGAGGATCATTTATTTTGAGTTTGATAGTGACCCAAGGCAAATGGCAAAGGCAAACCCAAATTCTCTCTGAGGGAACACACTCAAACCCGATCTCATGACAAATTTCCCATAATGAGTTCACAATAAAAAAAAAAAAAAAATCACTAACACACAAAAAATAAGCCATCATAAGAATGAATCCACAGAAATAATAGAAAGCAAAATGGGCTCCTAAAAAATCAGAAAATGAGTATACTGGATGTGTTCAAAAAAATAAGTGTTTGAAAATATTGCAAAAAAAGAGAGAGTCTATCAAATATGACCAGAAGGATTTAAAACATAACCAAACAGGATTTCAAGAAATAAAAAGTATACACATTGACATTTTAAAATGAATGTATAAAATAAACAGAATAAACACAGCTAAAGACACTTATTAGTGCATTATAATAGAGATCTGAAAAAATTACATGAATTACAGAAACAGAGATGGAAATTTGGAAGATAAATTAAAGATAAAGAGAATAAAGTGAGAAGGTTTAACTTTCTTATGAAATGATAGAGAGAATTAAGGAAAGACAATATTTAAACAGATATTTCTAGCAACTTTCTAGAATGTGTAAAATATGTAAATCATCAGTTTCAGAATTACAATAAATTCCAAGTATAATAAATAAAAAAAAATCCACACCAAAATACATCAAAATGAAACTTCAGTACACTAAAGATAAAGTGATTTTCCAATTCTAATGATGTAAACCAGAAAAAAGATAAATATATCTTCACATTACTGATTAAAGCAAACTTCTCATTTTGGAATTATACATCCAGTAAAAGTATCTTTCAAGAATTAGGTCAAAATTTAATGTGATTTGAGACAAACATATTTGAGAGAAACTAAAATCTGAAAAAGTTAAACACCAACGAACCCTCTCTAATGGAATGTGTGAAAGTGTAGTTCAGGAGGAAAATGACTTGAAAATGACTCCAGAAGAAATTCATAAGGTGGCAGACAAAACCGTAACCAACAATGGTAAACATATGGATCAATCTAAGCAAACAGTATTTAAAACAATATTACAAATGTCTGTGTTGTGATTAAGATAAAAATAAAGTTCTAACACTAAAAAATAATAGCATAAATGTTGGAAGGGGAGTAATTGAACTCAAAATATCTGAAAGATTTTGCTTTCTTATGAAGAAAAGTAAAGATCTTTATTAAATTTAGATATTTAAATATGCATGTTAAAATGTCCATAGTGACCACTAAAATAATAGAAATCGGTTGCATACAAACTTATAAAAAGGAGAAACAACGGATTAAAGAGGAAAACATCAATAAAATCCTATATAAAAATAAATAAAAAATAAGAAAGTAAAATTGTGAATGTGGTAAGACTTCATTATATAAATTTTAAAAATAAATATTATAAAATTTAGACATACATTCTTATGGGACAAAACTATTTGTAAAGAAAGCAATAGAAATGACAAATCCAGAATTGAAGGTAGTGTTTACCAGTAGGTGTTGGAGAGGGAGAGAAACGCCACCCAAAAGAGACATTCAGAGGTCTTCAAAGGTATTGGACATGTTATATTCCTTAGTCTAAGTGGTGGGTACTAGGAATTCATTTTATTATTATTACTTAAGCTTTATAAATGTTATATATCTTCTGTATTAATTAAAATTTAATTCAAAAAAGAAATTATGAATTAGAAAAATTATGTACAGATATAGAATAAATATCAATACAGATCTGCATAGTAGAATCTGGTGTGAGGGCAGTAAAAAAAAAATTACTAGGGCCGGCCCGGTGGCACACTGCACCGCTTGGGAGCGTGGTGGTGCTCCCGCCAAGGGTTTGGATCCCACATACAGACCGGTTCCCGCTCACTGGCTGAGCAAGGTGCGGGCGCAGCGCCAAGGGTTGCAATCCGTTGCCGGTCCCGGTCCGGTGTGGGCGCGACACTGAGGGTTGCGATCCATTGCCGGACACGAAAAAAGACAAAAAGGAAAAAAAAAATTACTAGTAATTTCCAACTTATATTCACAGTGTTTAAATTTTTATACCATGAGCATTTTTTCTTTAATTTAAAAAACTAGCTAAAAAATCATATATCTTAAAATGAACTAAGTTGTGCCAAATTTGCAAAATTTGAAAAAAAGATATGTATCTCGAAATCTTAGTCTACACATTTTGAACATTGTGGAATGGAATATTTGATGAAAAATTGTTCAAATTTTTAGTGATGAATATTTTTTTATTTATTCTGACTTCTCATTATCTTTGATAGTTTTTCAATGATGGAATCAACATGTAGCTTCTTAAACTCATAGAATTCTAGAGTTGGAAAGAGTTTCAGAGATCATGTTGTCTGTGGTTTTCAAGACTTCTAAAGGCAAAGAATTCTTCTAAAAAAAGGATACAGAGAAGCACGACATGTGAAACACTACTCAGCCCTGCCTCCCACCCACCTCAGCACTGCCTACCCCATCCCATCCATGAATCCCAAGTGTAGCTCCACGGAGTTATTGGGATTGCCTTGGAGTCATGTGTCTTGTCTACTTCATGTCTAACTAGGACAGAAATCACTTATGGAACCCCATGACTGATTGTCACCTGGTTTCTGCTCCAACACTTCCCCACAGATCTATGTATTTATTCTTAGACATGGCTCATTCCATTTCACTGCTCACTCCGGTTTGGTCAAGGGTAAAGAAAGTTTTTCTTACCTATAGCTAAAATCTTTCATTATGTGACTTTGAAATATATTAGCCCTAACTGTGTCCTGGGTCTAATTTCCCATTCCTCTCTATAGCCACCCTAATCCCTTCCACCCAACTATGGGAGCCTCCCATATGTGAGGGCAGTTCTTTTATGTTCCCACACAACACACCCCTCTGACCCTAGCAACTGGGCTCTGTCTAGCTTCTTCATTAGAATTTCCTCAAGACCTCTTCCATCTGTGTCCCTTCATATAGGGGAAGGAGTCTATGGAACCAAGGTTTCATGACATCTGCAATCCCTCTCCCCCATAGGACAATACCCATTTTCCGGGACACCTGAATTTCCTGCCCAAACATTTCCTCTAGCGTCTTCACCAGCCTCCTTCCAGATTCTTCCTCAAGGGTACACCACATGGACAGAGTACAGAAACCTAGACTCAAGGGGTAGACATGAGGTGAGTGGTTGAAATTTGTACATGGAGACTAGAATACAAGAGGCTACATATGGTGCCGTATAGAAGAGAAAAGGGATAGCTTGCAGGTGAGGGGTAGTCGATTTGTACCCCTCCCCATCTTCCACAAATATTAAGGGCAAGTCAATACCCAAAACTTTTATTTTTCTAATCCTTTCATTTCTACTTTCTTCAAGCTCATTTTTATGATATTTTATCCAGTTCCTGCTAATACCAGGTCACCAGATTTAAAAAAGCCTGTGTCTAGATCCTTCCAAGTCACACAGTTTCAGCTAATTATTACTTGTTAAACAAATATAGCAAAGCTGGTTGCTTAACTTTCATCCCTTCTGTTGAGGTTTCAAGCCATCCTTTCCAAAAGTCATGCTTTCACCAAGGCTTCATTCATCTTGAAAAACAAAAATGGCAGAAATTACATTATTTAGCAAATTTACCTTCCAGAGGATTTGTAGGTGTTCACATTCGAGTATTAGCTGCTGGATTAATTTGGCTGTAGTGGATCATTTCTGTTTTGTTTGCCTTAGAGACAGAATTTAGAACACAGGACAAGTTCTTCTGTGGACTGGGGAAAGAGAGACAGCTCCAAGTTTTCCATGAAGTTTGTCATCTTATGTTTCCCAGCAATGTCCCAAGTGACTTTAAGATGCAATCTGTGAATAAGACAGGATTCATTCAGATCCATGACGCAGAGGTGACCAGAGTTCTTTAATTTTCTAATAGACCGATC